GATGTTTTACAAAGTTATTTTATAAGGTTGTATCAACCTAAGATGACAACTTCTGAACACACACACTGTACCAGCTCAAGAGCTAATGAGGAAGCCCAAGACACAAGCACTGGTGAAAGGTGCATCAGAGAACAGAACATGGGCTCCAGGGAACAGGTGGTCTAGGCAAGTAGCCTGCACCACCACGGAACAATACATACCACCAGGCCACCATCTTAGGGAACACCATAGATGTGGGAGGGTAGCCAACATCAAGGACATCTTGAGCAAATTGCAGTCCCTCACCTCATGTAAGGGACCCAGTCACTGGAGTCCTGCCCTAGGGCATTATTGTAATGAGAGCTGTAGTCCCAGTGAGACTGGAGAAATTATCCAAGAAGGACCTGAGGTAACCAAACAGGACCTAAATAGTGATGATGATAATAATGATAAAAGTATATAATTGATGTCATTTATGTATAATCTTATAAAGCATAAATCAGCTAAGTTCTGAACACTATTTGCCAGGTACTATTATATGTACTTTTATTTGTAAATTTACTAAATCTTTACAACAATCCTCTGAAATAGCTACTATTATGCTTCTCATTTTACAAATGAGAAAACTGAGCCATAGAAAGATGAAGTCATTTTCCCAAGGGCAGAGCTGAGATTAAAACACAGGCAGTAGGTTGCAGGGCCCATCTGAACAACTACCATCTGCAGTCAGTGTAGAGGCCCACTTGTTACTTCAATGTTGCTTCATGAGGACCAACAGGAACCATGGTTGATGTTGAATCTTCTTCTACATTTAACTAAAGATCTTTAAATCCTTTCCATGGCAGAAGGATTGGTCCTGAAGCCTGGGCTGTGGATGAGCCTACAGATAGTGGTTAAGTGATGGTCACTCTACAGAGAAGCAAGGTAGGGAGCCAGGTAACTGCTGACATACATCATTATTTTTCCATTTTCACCATGATGCTGACATAGCTATTATTTACTTCATTTACTGAGGAGCAAACCGAGGCTCAAAGAATTTACACAATTTGGCTGAAGACCCAGAAAACAATAGAGCCAAGACTGGATCCCAGACCTTCTGATTCCAAGGTGACATCTATAAGCTGGCTTTTGGACATTGGCAAGCAATATCATAAAGCAAGTGAATTTGGAAATAGGGTAGCAGAATGATTACAAATGTGCTTGGTGGCCAATTAACTCCAGCCATGCCAATTACCCTATGATCTTGAAAGAGGGACTTAAACTTTCTGAGACCTAGCACCTTCATCATAAGACAGGTTTGGTAGTAATCATCATCATCATCATCATCATCCTGGAGTTGCTATGGGAATTAAATGAAACACTGTGTACATGAATATCTAATAAAGTGCAAACATACAGTAGGTACTCAATAAGTGGTAGCTGTTTGGGGCAGACAGTGCTCTTATTGTACTGCTGAGTGAAGGCAAGCTCTGAGGCAGGCAGCCCAGATCTTTCTCCTGAGACATTTTACCTCTTGACTCAGAGAACATCAGCACTGGAAGGAACATTAGTATTGGTTGGATCTAGTTCTCTTTTAACAGATGAAAAAATTGAGGGCTTGAGCACGTGTATGATTTGCCCAAGGTTTTACAGCTAGTTGGGAAGAGAGCAAAACTGGGTCTTTTATTTGTAACTTAAAATTTTAAATAGCTGTTAGAAGGAGATTAAAAAAAGAAGAAAGCTTAAGAAGAAATAAAATTGAGACAACCTCAGGTCACCCTTCAACTGGGGATGTAACTTAGCGGGAAAAGAATGCCTGCCACACCTGAAAAGAGCCAGATGACTGATAATGCCCTGGTGGAGCCTCCCTCTCACCATCAGCATGCACACATGAAGGGACACTTCGTGGGAAGCAAACAGTATTGCTTTCAGAGACTCATTCCATATTATCGCACCCCTACCCTGCGGTTTTGTCTGGACCAAACAAAGGAAACTGGACTTCAGTTGATACACAAGAGAAGTTAATAGTAGGAAGGGAACCAGTATCTTGGAAAGCATATGGTAGGTATGTGATTAGTGTTAGCAAAAGGATCAGAGGCAAAAAAAAAAAAAAAAAAAAGGAAAGAAAGAAAAAGAAAAGTCCTTTTATATCATTTGAGTGGGTTGCCTCTACTTGCTAAAGACTAAGTGAAAATTGAATGGAATTAACAAGCAGGTGTTAGATTGAGGATGCAGAATGTTCAAGAAGGTGTATTGAACTGAACAGGTAACAAAGGGCTTTCAGAATGAGGTTTGAGGTGTATGTTTGCACACATGCACATATATATATTTACCAGGTAGTGCCGTCTTCGCCCTTTGCAGTTAATTTAAGAGCTGCTCTCCAAAGCAAACTAAATTGTGTCCACCGCACTACTTACAGGTGTCAAGGGAAATTCTTGGCACCATGGGAGATGTGGTGGGAGTCTGACGGGGCAAGGCAGTTAAGGATTAAGAAACAGAGATTCCAAACTGAAATTGCTGGGTCCACCTGCTATGCATTAATTATGTCTGTTTAGAGTCACTGCTGCATCTTTTAAGAGAAAGAAGTACATTTGGGAAACATTTGACAAATCTACTCCCAAAGAAAGAAAAGGTTAGAATTTTGTATGTTTTTTAACACATATATTACTTTTTAATTAATTATTATTAACATATAATAACATATATTATTAACATATAATATCTATTTTAGGGTACAGGTCTGTGATTCATCAGTCTTACACAATTCACACGTTTACCATAGCACATACTCTCCCCAACGTCCATCACCCAGCCACCCCATCCCTCCCAACCCCATCCACTCCAGCAACACATATATTATTAAAAGAAACTAATGCTCTCATTTAATAAAAACAGTGATTTTCGGGCAAAGAGATCAGCCTAGACTTCAAACCACTGTTCTAGTCCTGTTTGTTATTTTTAAGCACCTAAGTGATGTTAACCCACAAATTGTTTTACATAGATTTGCATTTTGACTTAAAGAGACACACAGGCACAAATATTCAAAGGAAAAGGGCAGTTAATATTAAAAACTATCCACTAACATCGGTTGTGACATCACACACTAATAAGATTGATCTCAAAGACCACAGCTCTTCCTGGAGAGTCTCCTAACAGGAGAACCATAAGTGTTATGGGAAAAGGGAACTGCCCCAAAAATGAAGTGAGAAAGTTGACACAAATTACAGATGATGCAGAATTCCAGTCTAAATATGCACTTGCTTTGATGAATGATGCACATGGATTTCCATGTGACTACCACTCCAGATGTTGCCATTCATTGCTAGGGCTGCCAGTTCTCATAGAGAAGATGCTGTAGTTAGTTGTTATGTTTGGGAGGCAGCTGTCTTTTCTTGTGAAGACATCCTTGGGGAAGTTCTGTTTTTGTCCATCTTCTAGTCTTGGGATTTTGGTGGTGCTTGTCCTCTGTCTTCACAGAACATTTGCAAGCTCACTAGCAACCCTCTCTATCCTTCATCTCCCTCAACTTCTTTCACAGTTATGATTTTAGGGTGGTGGGTAACTATTGTTTGTCCAGGAGCTGCTGGGTTAACAGATGTTGCTGGAATTTTCTGTTACATATGTGTGTTTGTTTTTGTCTGTTTACACCATTGTTTGACCCATTTCAGTCATTTTGGGGAACTTTAAACACAAACCCACAATTTACAAGCACTGTTCTCAGAATGTTTTTCATTAGTCTCCTCTATATTTTAAATTGCCTTGGCCACATAACTACACATAGAAGTAACTGGAATATAATTTCTATATATCTCTGTTAGCTGTGTTGGTGTACTTGTAAGAAAAAAGTCCGTTTCTCTTGCTCCTTAAGTAAATTAGGTAGGAAATCAGTAGCAGCTCTCACTAAAGGGAATATTGGAATTGGAGCCTTCGTTAACAGGTAAGATTTTACCTTATCCCATTCCCTTCTGGAGCCAAAATGCCTAAGCAATGAGACTCCCTTGGTATCAAGTTTCTGCGAGTTTACAAGGTATGAGAAAGAACCAAGGGAGAAAATCCTTCTCTTGTGAGAAAGGTGGTGATTCCAGAGGGAGGGAACATGGACACAAGTCTGTAGGCCCTGGAAAGGGACAGTAAGAAAAGAAAAGGGAATTGAGGAGAGAAGGAACAACAATTTAGAACTCCCTCCTCCCAAGGCTTCAATCCTTTGAGTGCTCTCTTCTATTCAGCACACAGCAGGGAAACTTAAGTTTAAACTGCTACTGCCTCTGTTCTTCCTATACTGCATGGTTCTCTCTGAAACCTATCTGGTCCTAGGTCAAAGTCTCGGGGTGAAAAAGAACAAGCCCCAGATCCTGCTGAACATTGCAGCCTTTGCTCTAGTGATAAAGGCAGCCCAGGGGCCCTAAGTCCTCCAAATAGACCTAACTAGAACAATTTCTCCATCTTTCTCAGCTGAGAAGCTCAGTAAATTAAGTGCTTCGGTGATCCACAAAATATTAAATTCTTTCTGAATCTGCAAGAACTTTGTCTTTCCTTTACCAGAGCCCTTGTGCTGGTAACATGTTGATTTTGAGGATTTCAAAATTTGTGAGTTTCCTCAGAGCCATTATGAAAGGGAGTTGTTTACCTATTGCTATTCTTTGGGGTTATAGAATTTCTTTGTCCAGGTTTTCTTAAAAACTTCAGGAAATAAAAAGGTTAAAGGAACTATAGGAATGCCTCTGGGACAAATGATCATCCACAAAATGTTTGTTTGGGTTACACAAACAGAACATACTTAAAATATCTTTAATAGTGACTGTACTACATGTAAGATAAAGTACATAGAGCAAGACATTGGTTCTCAAATTTTAACATGCCTCAAAATCCCCTGTGGGATTTGTGAAATATAAAGATCACAGGGTACCAACCTCTGAAATTCTGGAGTGGGGCACCCCAAACCTGCTAAAGCCCCACAGGTGGGCTTGTTGTAAGTGGTTCTAAACCAATTGTCAAAACACATCAATTCTTAATAAGGGTCTGTTTCCACCTTCTCCACTTACTTTCCCGGCATTTTCCCATCCCACCAGTGCCTTCCATGTTGCCAAATCCGTGCTTCATTCAGTCGTCATCTTGTTCGACCTATTGACAGGATTTGACACAGTTGATCACTTCACCTTGGAACACTCTTCATCTGCTTCTATGGCACTAATCTCTTCTGGTTCTCCTTCTCCCTTCCTAGGTACTCTTTCTCTTTCTCAATCTCACTTGCTGACCTTATTTTCCTAATTTCTAGACCTTCGAGTGCCTCAGGATTTCCACTTTTGAGTCTACACTCATTTCTTTTTTTTTATTATTATTTATTTATTTATTTGATAGAGAAATCACAAGTAGGCAGAGAGGCAGGCAGAGAGAGGGGGAGAAGCAGGCTCCCTGCTGAACAGAGAGCCCGATACCGGGCTCAATCCCAGGACCCTGAGATCATGACCTGAGCTGAAGGCAGAGGCTTAACCCACTGAGCCACCCAGGTGCCCCTACACTCATTTCTTCAGTATTTTCATCCACTCCCCTGTTTTCACATACCCTGTTGTGACTTAGAATTCCCAAAGTTGTATTTGTAGTCCACTCCACTCTCCCGAGCTCCAGACTTAGGTATCCGGTTGTCAACTCAGCATCTCCACTTAGATGTCTAATTTGAATATATTAACATGTACAAAACCCCTTATACTTCTCCTCTTAAAACCTGCTCCTCCATCAATATTTTTCAGCTTAATAAAGGGTAACTCTTTCCTTCCAGTCGCTAAATCCAAAAACCTTTGTGTCACCACTGATTCCTCAGTTTCTTCACAATCCACATCTAAACCATGAGCAAATCCTATCAGCTCTACTAGAAAATATATCCAAAGTCCAATCACTTCATGCCATTTCCAATCCTATCATCCTGGTCTAAGCCATGATCATGACTCAACTGGGTTAGTACCATAGCCTTCTAGCTGGTCCAATTGCTTTTATTCATGCCTGTTCCCCTACTCTGTTCTCCACACAGCAACCAGAGTGAGCCTCTTAAAACACAACTCAAGTCTTCACACTCTTCTGCTCAGAAGCCTTCCCATCTCAAAGTAGAGTCCAAATTCCCCACAATGACCCATATAAACTGTATTATTTCATCCAGTGCTTTCTCTCTGGCCTCAGTTTGTGCCATTTCCCCCTTTCCCTCAACCTATACACTAGTTGTTTCCCCTGCCTAAACCGCTTTTCTCCTGGATAGTCACATGCCTGCTACCTCACTTCCTTAGGTCTGTTCAGATGTCATCTCATTAGAGAGGACTCCCTAACTGTAATAGGCAGTTTCTAGGATATCCCCAGGGACCCCCACCGGCCGGTAATCATACCCTTATATAATCCCCAACACTTAAATTTAGTAACTTGCTTCTAGTGAATAGGATTAGATAGTGGTAATGGGCTGAGAGTAGGTTACAGAAAGACTGTCGCTTCTATCTTAAACATAGTCTCGCTCTCTTGCATGCTTCCTCTGAGGGAGGCCAACTGCCATATTGTGAGTTGCCATATATAGAGGCCCACATAGCAGAGACTTGAGAAAGTCCTCTAGGCAATCCCCAGCAAGGAATGGAGATACTCAGTATAACAGCCTGAAACGAACTGAATCTGACAACTGTTCCAGTCACAAACTGAATGCAACCTCCTAGGAGTCCTTGAAGCAGAGACATTAGCTAAGCCACACCCAGGTTCCTGACCTACAAAAACTATAAGATAATAAATGTTTGTTGTTTTAAGCTATAACATTTGGAGTAATTTGTTATTCAGCAACATGTAAGTAATACAATGACCATGCTGTATAAATCTACAAACTCCTCCTATCCTTGCCACCTCCTTACCCCCATTACTTTCTCTGTAGTGTTCATCTCCAAAGCCTCACATATTATATATTTGTTTGCTTGTTTGTTTAGTCCTGTTTCCACCTGCTAAGATAAAATCTCCGTGGGGGCAAGGACATTCACAGATGTTGCTTACTGCTACATCCCTAACAGCTAAAATGTGCCTGGCACATAGTAGGCACTCAGTAAATATTTGTTGAATGAATTGATGCGTGAGCAAGGGGTAATGAGTGAGGTAGTGAAAAACAACTCACAGGTTTGTGGTGAGCACTAAATGAGCAAAATACGTAACACGTCTAGTCCTCAGTAGGTACTTAGGGAAGAATGATTTTCCCCCTCAAAGAAATTTTCATCAAATGATGTTATTGTGGACAGGTAAAACTGTAGAACTCTTTTCAGACTGGGATGCTTATTCTCAGAATACCTTGCAAGAAGGGGGTGATAGCTCCTTTAAATTAAGTCACAAAACATCATGTCAGTGGCTACTTCAGTTGTGGATCTCACCCAGCTTATCCATTTTATTCAGGGTCTCTGAAAGCAAACAACACTCCACTTACAGAGGAGCCACACTTTTAGTTTTCTGCGTTGTTCTAGAACTCTGTCTCCTTTCAGCCTTAAGGGCCTTGAGTTAATCACCTAAGTTCTTTCAGACCTTTTTGAGCTCTGAATTAGATTCTCACTGGGAGAGTCATTCAGAGAAAAATAAAACAGTGCCTTCTGTCACGCTTATTATGGCCTCTTAAAACCCCACTGTCTTCATAACCACTGCCAGACAATAAGATAATCCCAATAGCAATGGGCGATTATTACTGTTTCAAAACCATTGTGCAGTTGCCTCTGAAACGAAATCATTGGGTTATATGATCTTCACTTATTACGGACTTACGGTATTCTCCAGCAGGAAGCAGCGTAAGCGGATCATTTCTGCACAACTATAATGTTTAAAACTTTAATATTGGCCAAGAAATAGAAATAATTTCCCTAACAGGATTGAACTGAGGATAAATGGGAAGTCTGACATGCTATTCTGCTGCACCAGTGTTTCTTGAACCTCTTAGGAAGTGTGTTTCTTCACTATTTTATTCCAAATCTAGCACAGTGCCTATTACATGAGAGGGACTCAGAAACCGTTTGTGGGTTCACAGGATGCACAGGCAAATGAGAGAGTTATCAGGAGCCCCCAGTGAGTGTGTCCTTGTCTTAAAAGCTGGCCCACCTAGGTAGAGCACCCTGGGTGGTCACTTCTTTCCTACCTGAATCGACTGGTAGTGTCACTTGCCTTGGTGGTTAAGTAGACTTGACTCTCAAATCCTGACCTGCCACTTCCTAAAAGTGGGACATTGGTCCTATCACTTCATCACTCTCAGGCTCATCTGTAAATTAGTATAATAATATGTACCTCATAGAATTATTAAAAGCATTAAGTTAGCTAACATGTAAAATACCAAAACAGACACACCTAGGCAGTCAATACTTAATTGTTAATTAAACATAACCCTATCCTCTGTCATTATGAAGAAAAACATCCCACTTGGCCTGTTCTCTCTTAAGCAATTTTGTTCCTCAAGTCCCAGGTAGGTCGGTCCTTAGTAAGAAGAAACTTACGCACCAGCAAAGTACTTCCATTATTATGTTTGCTTTTATTTAAATTTCCTTTTCTATTTACAAAGTGCTGTCAAATACATCATTTCTTTGAATTTTACAACACTGAAAGGCATGAAGAATTGAATTACTTTCATAAGATCACACAGTGATGATAAAGCAGGGTTCAGACTCAAGCCCAGAATCTTTTCATTATACAGCCTCTAGCAAGTGGATAGAGGCAGAAAAGCCAACAAAATGGCCCAAGTACATTTCTCAACCATAGCCTGCCTCAAGCAGCATGAGTAACATCAGATACTGCACAGGCAGCCCCTTCTGGAATCTCAAACCTATGTCTTTATAAATTGATGGATCAGTGAGCATCTAGGACCAACAATAGAGCCTTTGAAAGGGTGGTGTCTTGTTGACTGTTTCTTTTACCATGCGGAAGCTTTTTATCTTGATGAAGTCCCAAAAGATCATTTTGCTTTTGTTTCCCTTGACTTTGGAGACTGTCTAGCAAGAAGTTGCTGTGGCTGAGGTCAAAGAGGTTGCTGCCTGGGTTTTCCTCTAGGATTTTGATGGATTCCTGTCTCATATTTAGGTCTTTCATCCATTTTGAGTTTATCTTTGTGTATGGTATAAGAAAATAGCCCAGTTTCATTCTTTGACGTGTGGCTGTTCAATTTTCACAGCACCACTTATTGAAGAGACTGTCTTTTTCCCATTGGATATTCTTTCCTGCTTTGTCAAAGATTAGTTGACCATAGAGTTGAGGGTCCATTTCTGGGTTCTCTATTCTGTTCCATTGACCTATCCGTCTGTTTCTATGCCAATACCTTACTGTCTTGATGATTACAACTTTGTAATATAGCTTGAAGTCTGGCATTGTGATGCCACCAGCTTTGGTTTTCTTTTGAGCAAAATAAGTCAGTCAGAGAAAGACAATTATCATATGGTTTCATTCATATGTGGAATATAAGAAACAGGGGAAAGGAGGAAAAGTGAATGGGAAGTCCTCAGAGAGAGAGGAAAAAAAAATCATGAGAGACTCTTGACTATAGGAAACAAACTGAGGGTTGCTGGAGGGGAGGTGAGTGAGGGGATGGAGCAGCTGGCTGATGGGCATTAAGCAGGGCATGTGATATGATGAGCACTGGATGTTTTATGCAGCTGATAAATTATTGAACACTACATCTAAAACAAATGATGTATTATATGTTGGCTAATTGAATTTAAATAATTTGTTTTAAAGATTCTATTTATTAATTTGAGAGAGAATGAGTGAGAGAGGAGAAGGTCAGAGGGAGAAGCAGACTCCCCAAGGAGCTGGGAGCCCGATGCGGGACTCGATCCTGGAAGTCCGGGATCATGACCTGAGCCAAAGGCAGTCGCTCAACCAACTGAGCCACCCAGGCGCCCTAAATAATTTTTTTAAAAAAGAAGACTCTTAAAAAAAAAAAAGAAAAGAAAAAGAAAGGGTGGTTTCAAGCTTTCTGGTATTTGTTCTGAATATGAGGTGGTGATGCCACTCTTGGGTCACTCCCGCCATAGTTGCTATGGTGACAAATATCTTGAAACAGAGAGGCAGTTTCTTTGAGCACATCACAATCCTGTTTCCCTGCTCCTGCAAATACACAGCCCTAAGACACCTGAAAAGGGAATATTCTCTAACCTCTTGCCACTTTGCAGAATAACTAACTAGATCTAGGAAGGAAAAGTAAATTCATAATCACTGACCATCTTCTAAGTGCTAGGCATAAGTACTCTGTGTTCAAGCTTGTAGAAGTAGCAAGAACACAGAGGAGTCTTGTGTCCCAGAGCCAGATGTGTTACACAATTTAACAAGGCCCCATATATATTATTTTCTTCAATTTAATCCTTAAAAACAATCCCTACATCCGTTAGTGGACACGGTGGTATCTCCCCAACATCTAGTCCTTCTTATCTTGATAACCGTTGCAATTTCTATTCAGGACCCCCCCCCTGCTGCTACGAGTGGGAAGAGTGGATGGGACTTCAGTTGATCTGTATAAGCCCATTCTCTAGTCACAGTTCACAGAAGACATGTGACCAAAATTGAGTCAGTAAGAAGTTTGCTGGGGATGTTGAAAAGATTCTTACTTGTGTACTCTTTCTTTTTTCTTCCTTCCTTCCTTCCTTCCTTCCTTCCTCTTGCTCTCTCTCTCAGCCTCCTCCTAGAAGGTGTGGTGAGCTAATGTGAAGTCTGGAATTGCCATAGCCATAGGGTGAAGCTGATTCCACAAAAGGCAGAGCAAAGGAATAGGAATAAATCAATTATTCGATGATACCACTGGATACTGAACCGAACAACCCTAAAGTTTTCTCTACCTCTTAAATTTTCTGCTATGTGGGGATCAAATATACCATTTATTTATTTACCTAGTTTGAGTTTAATGTTCTACTACTTGCAACATAGAGTGTAAACTACTTTGGTTAGGGGAAGACTAGGCTGTCATAACAAAAGGACCCAACAATAATGGAATGGCTTAAAGAAGTCAGAGTTCATTTCTCTCTCTTGTAACAGTGGGCAGGTGTTCCAGGTGGGCAGACAGCTCTGCCCCACATGTTCATTTAGAGACACAGGTTCTTTCCATGTTATTGCTCTATTACTCCTATGGTCTTGTCCTCATTTCCATGGTCTAGCTCAGGGTGCTCTGGGTTCAAACTCATAGGGAAAGAGCGTGGAGAATCAAATGTGCTACACAATACTTCTCACATTCCACTGGCAGGGAATTAGTCCCTTGTCCACATCTAACAGTAAGGAAGACTTAGAATTATGTTAGTAGCCCTGTGCTCAGCTAATACATGTCCATTACCACAAAAGAAAACAAGAATGGATTTTGGTGGACTGCAAGCACTCTTAACCACATTAACCATTACTGTACCCATTTTATAAAGGAGAAAAGTAAGGCTGAGAAAACGTGCCTAAAGTCAAAGAACCAGGAAGTGGCAGAGTCAGAATTTGAACCCAACCCTCTAATTCTTACTACTGCATTCTCCAAAGGGTGGACTCTTCTTGCTCATCCATGTGTATAGTAATCCCTCTCTACAATTTTATCTCTTAGAATAACATCACCCACCATCGGCAACATACATGACATAGGTTGCTAACCCCTAATCTGTTAGGGGCCTGGTTCCCCACAAAGATGGGGATCAGCAGACATGGGAGAAGCAGGCTCTCCGCTGAGCAAGGAGCCCGATGTGGGACTCGATCCCAGGACCCTGGGATTCTGACCTGAGCCAAAGGCAGATGCTTAACTGACTGAGCCACCCAGGTACCCTTGGACTTTCTATTTATGCATTTTGTTGGGCTGTTGGTCTTCACTGATTTGTGGGAGCTTTTTATATAGGATCAGCTCCTCTCTATTAAATGAGTTACAAATGTTTCCCCTTTTTATAATTGTCTTTTGGTTTGCTCATGGTGGGTTTTACATTGCAGAAAAGTATTCCTTTTATTTACTCTCTGAAACATCCCACTTACCTAGGAGGAGCTCCTTAAACAAGCCAAATTTTACGAAGCAGACAGGAAAGGAAATGAACTTGGCAGAACTTTACTTTTGAAGATTTTCTCTCCTATTGGATCCCATCTTTAATTACTCCCTGATAATGACATTGTCAGAGAACTCACCCTGCTGAATAAAATTAAAATGACTAACCCTGACTTCCCACAGTAGCAAAGTGCAAAGGAAGCCAAGTTTCCTGCCCATTGGCTTACCAGCTAAATCAGAGAGGAAGATAATGTTCTGAAAATCTCCAGAGAATGCTGTTGATAAAGCAGGTTTCATTTCATTCCTTCTGAGCCTGCTTCCTCCACACAAGTCAGTTATAAAAGTCCATCAATGAATGGGATCGGTCTGAAGGAGAACAAGCCCACGGATAGATTAGATGGATGGGAAAAGGAAATAAAGAAAAGGAGCACATGAATACTAAGAGACACCATACTTAAGTGAGGGACATTTCACAATGCAAATGAAATTGCTTCTGCCACAGGCAGGCAAACAAATTTCCCCCAGACAAGGATAAGTCTAAACATAAGTCATAGTGGGGAATTACAAAGACACTGGAGATCTCAACAATATATAGAGTGGGGATGCCCCTTTTCAAGGTCTAGGAAGGAATGTCAGCAGCATTTCTTTAATGTCACCAAGAAAATGTGCTGAGGCAGCTTTGGGGAACATTCTGGTTCCTTCTGCATTTCTCAGCCTGACTCATGCCAGTTACTGAAAAACCCCAACCTTCAGCCTTAGCTGTCCAGAGTCTGACTCTGCCTTGCTGCATGTTTTCCCACCCCTCTGATGAGCAAGTAGCCAAAACTGTGGAATTGTACTACTGCCTCTCTCTGTGCTTGCCCCTTCTTCCCAGGCCTCCCCTTTCTCCTGGGCCAAAAGCACTGTGCTGTGCAGCACCTGACAGGCAACCCTTCCCACGCCTGGACTTCTGCCTGGCTTCCTGACTGGCACTCCAGTGCCTGCTCCTGCTGGAGCATTGCCCTGAACTTCAGCCTCCTTGGCAAGGGCATTGACAGACCAGCTGGCCCTCAGCCACCACCCTGTTCCTCCCAACAACTGGCCAGAGTACTGTTTCAACCCAGATACCCTCCCTCCCCAAGACGTGATCTTCCTGACCATCAATTGAATTAGTATTTCCATGATCCATTGCTCAGTTTTGCCCCTGCTGTGCTCCCAACCTTCCACTAGATGGGACCCCATGGACATCTGTATCAGATAGGTCAAGCCCAGTTTCACCACACACAAATACCAATTCAACCTGCTTTAAACAATAAGCACATTAACTTATGTAGCAAGAAGTCAAGGGATGAGAAGATTCCAGGCTCGGCTAATTCTGTGGTTCGAGGTGTCATTAAGGACCTAGAGTCTCCTGTCTTTCTGCTCTACCATTCCTACCTATTCCTTTCATAAGATGGATATAGCAGCTCAAAACAATCAGCAGTAGGCTGGAGTTGGCTCCTGAGAGTCAATTGCTAAGTGTGCCAGCCACTTGCTGAGCTATAGGTAGCCTGAAATCAGCCATTATGAGGGAGTTTACACCATGGAAATGGAAATATGCAAACACTGTAAATCAGGGTTTTTTGTTTTTGGAGGATGTATCACATCCTCACACAGTAATATCTAAAGACAGAATGGCAGAATGGGTCTGTTTCTCAAAAACATCTTTTTTGAGGAATAAAGAAGCTTCTAGAAGCCTCACAGAAGGTCCCCCACCCCTGCCTCCTTGACCCAATTGTGTCACATTTCTATGTTTCAATCAAAGATTGACAAATGGATAGGATTGTGATAACTCCTTTTAAGCATAGTGGGACACCTGATACTCTACGAGGAATCAATACTCTCTTAGCTAGAAAAATAAGGTGAGAGATGGCCTTTGGAAGGGCATCAGCAGGATTTGTCATAGACACATACACACCATCCATCTATCCATCAATAAGCTGACTGAGAGCTTATCTCTCTGCCTTGGCCCATTATGAAGCTTCCAGCAGGTTCACAGGGCATATGGGATATGACAGCCTGAGATGTGTGCAAAACTACCTCACTAGAAGAGGAAAAAACAACAGCCATCACTGAGAATCAATTTTCCATTTGTTCTAGGCCTACAGTTTACCCAAGTGGTTCCAAAAAACCTCACTTTATTCAAGCACTATCAAAAGAATAAAAATTGTCCTGTGTCTATTCTATAATGCTTTTTCTATAAAGAAATTCATATTTTAAAAGATTAAATGCTAAGCAGGAAGAGAATTACATTAATTTTTATGTTTTGACATGCAATTTAAGTTGAGTTAAATCTTGTTAAGCAGTTCACTCAAAATTAACTTTTCTGAATTCAGGCTTAACCTAATCCTGGTTTTCTCTCTGGCTTGAGTAGACTATAAGTTTGAACTAACCCAGATCTTTTTTTTTTTTGGACTCAGTCCTTCCAAAAGCTTGTCTAAGTTTGCAGAACTTTCAATGACATTGAGAAGTATCAGACTCCATGCTGTCTGTCTTCACTGTGGCTTTCATTGCCCCTGGGAAGGGACCTCAAGCCTACTCTCTGTTAATTTTAAGGAAGTGTCTGGATTGCCCTTCTCTGCATCCCATCAAACTTCTTGTGCCTTCCCCTACACTAATGAAAATAGAACTAAAACTTCTGACCACATATGCCTATGTTTTTCATAAAGAGTTGGGCTTAAATATATGGAACTTTTATACAAGCCTCTGTAAAGTATATGAAGAAGGACAGAGCTCAGTCCTTAGCTCCAATGAGCTGACAATCTGGTTATATAGGCTTCTACAAGAAACAAAGGACTACTATAGAAAAGCTATAGACATTTGGAAAAAGGAGAAATCATTCTGAACAGGTGTTAGAAACTTTGTTTTCTTTATCAATGTTTTCCACTATTTGATTATGTAATTTTCAAACATAATGAAAAGCTGAGAGAGTAGTATAATGAATGCCGTATCTCCATCAGATATAACAATGGTTGATATTCTGCTGTATTATCTAGCTATCTAAATACTTTGCTATATATTTTAAAGGAAGTCACAGCCTTATTAACATTTCACCCTAACTCCTTCAGCATGCTCCTCTTTAAAAAGGATATAGCTAAAAACCATAATACCTTTATCACATTTAAGAATATTGACAATAATTTTCTAATATCATCTAAAACCCAGTTAATATTAAAATTTTCCTAATTGTTCCCCCTAAAATTTTTTTTTATAATCCTGATGTTTATTTATCAAATTTCATCAGTGGAGTCTTTGACCAGCTTTTAAAATAAGGGCAATTTCATTATAGAGGAATATTTGGCAAACTCTAAGTACAGAAAGCTTTTTCAAGATTTTTTAAAGGGAGTAACACTGGTCAGAATTTGGTACATGAATATGATAACATCTACTGAAAATCTTCCCAGACATCATGAAAACTTGGAGGTAATTTGTATAGCTTGAAATGTCTTCATTTTAGAATGTTATATACAAAAAGGGCCTTGTCAAGAACAGAAAACTGCATTTTCTGTGTTCAGACTATAATTACAACACAACTGGCTTTTGATGTTACATTAAGTAATTTATACTTCAAGCTCCAGAGTATGTGGGGCATAAAACCTGATTAAAATTTTATATGACAAAAATCCCAATAAATGTTTCTTTTTAAAAAAATGGCTTTTCAATATGCTGATTCAGTCTAGTCATCCAAGAAAAAGCAGCTGATTTTTGCAAACCAGGTTCATATGTTACATTTGGTAGTTAGGTCTCCTTAGCTTATTTTAATCTGAAAGATTTTTCCTTCTTATGTGAAAAAGTGATATTGACCTCTGAAGACACTAGACCAACTGCCTTGTAAACAGTGCCAAATTCTGGATATATGTGATTGTTATCTCGGGGTGTTGTTTAATTTGTTTTTCTAGCCTTGTTGTCTTGTTAAATTGAAGGTCTGATTAGATTTAGGCGGAATCCTAGTCCTGACCTGAAGCAGATGGCACGCTTAAAGGGTTTAACTGAAGGGAGTTCAGTGAAGGAACTATTTACAGCAGAGTGGGCAGACTGAGGGAACAGCACTGGGGGGTTAGTGCTGTTAGTGCTGTAGGGACCACCACCCTGGGCCTGACGTGGCAGCAGAGGAGTGGAGCTCCCCTAAAGCACGATTGGAAATTGGAGTTTTGGAAGTGGGACCCACAACAGGAGCCACTCAAATGGAACCCATGCAGGGAGTGAGATGGTAGGCCAAATCTCTATGTCCTCCTTCAGATTTCTCCCAGAGCCTCCCCACTGGCCAAATCTAATTAGAAGCCCAAATGGGAGGGAGACTGGCTGATACATTGTGCAGAGGGGCATCTCCAGGGACACAGAGCAGAATGAAGAAAGGCATCAAATGGATGGACGTATAAGAGCAAATGGAAAACAACACACACACAGCTTAAACATTTTTGCTTAGAACGCTTCATAGGCAAATTCACCATGCAGTGAATTTCAGATAGTCACATCAGGAGAAGCAATGTGTTAGGTTATCTCACCATTAGCAAAGCTACGTTTCACCACTTGGTTAAAGTATTAATGCCAGATCTCAACACTGAGATGTAAAAGGATGTTTTTAATTTTAAATAAGCAAGTAATTCTAGGGTAGACCCTTTGGCCAGCAGGGGAAGGTTCTTTTACCCCTACAATTTTTCATGTAATCATCTTAGCATCCTTGATGATTCTGATCTGAATCAGTTATTTCACTGGAGGTTGTTGACTTTTCTAATTCTTTCTTTCCATATTTGGTTGAACCAGGTGAAATTTTGCAAATGAAAAATAGCTGAATATCAAAAGTTTCATCAAATTCAAACTAAAACATTTATTATCTAGTGTTCTGTGGGAAGGAAGTTTTTCTCTCCTCAACTAGGGAAAGACTACAGTCCTTCCTGAAAAGATAAAGTAAATGTTTAGTTCCTTTCCTTTATATACCAGCTGTCAAAGTAAGTCACCACCAAAAGAGTAAAGCAACTGCTACTCCTTTTTTCTTTTTCCTCTCTTCCTCCTCCTCCTTGTCCTCCTTGCCTTCCTCGTCACTGTCCTCCTCCACTTCCTCCTTTTTTCTTTCTCTCCCTTTCTTCCCTTCTCTCTTCACTTTTTCTTTTTAGTGCCAACATTGGCTCAAATTCAGCCAGTGGGTACTCCTTCAAGCTAACTCTTCAATAGGAATCTTGAAAGATGTCATTTCTTTCTGAAATTATGGGATGTCCTAGGCTCACCTGGACTAAGTTATGTTCCTTTGCCCAAGATCTTCTCCAAAGAGTCTTGGCTCAATTTAGCGGAAAATGACATGTGTGCAACATCTGTGTACTAGTGTGCTCACTATATATAGTGTTTAATAGCAACTCAAGCATCTATTGATGGGATAATGAATAAGCAAAATACTGAAGTATTACTGCTTCTAAGATTTTATAGTGGACAGAACCCCTATAAGATACATGCATATTCATGTATATCTTTAATTGGGACTCCATATTTACATTTATTAACTAGTCAGGAATGGTTATGTGGAGCAAAAAGTTGAACTAGCTTTGGGAGGTATGTACAATATCTTTTTCAAAAAATAATTTTTCTGTTATACAATCACATTTCCAAAGAAAAACATAACTTAAAAAATAAAAAAGAGAGGGGTGCCTGAGTGGTTCAGTTGGTTGAGCATCTGACTCTTGGTTCCAGCTCAGG